ACTAACTGCTAAGTCCAAAAAAAAAATAACCCTCTGCCACGCCAGCCTATTTGCACTAGAAACATTTTGCTTCTGCCCTCACTTATTTACTCGTCTATTTTTTTCTTTTCTATGCCTGGGTAGAAAACAAATGGGACACGGGACAACTGACGCAGCAGCCTTCGGAGGTAAAAGCGTAGCCCTGAATGCACTTTCCCAGGATGAATATCAAGAACTTACCTCAATGTCGATTGCTTCGTTTCAGATTATCAAAACCCTTATAATTATAATAATTATAATAATAATAATAATAATAATAATAATAATGACAGCTGCGCTGTGAAATTCTTCCACAGCGCAGCTATATAATCTCAGCGCGCTTTACAAATGTAAGAAGTAAAATATAAGAAATATACAAACTAAATTAAAATTGATTAAATAAAAATGTTTTGAGCTTTCTTTTAAAGAGAAACAAAGTTTTCACATACATACTATAAGACCATACAAGGGTTTACAGTCATTTCTACCTTTAGTTATCGGGGACGGAAGTTGTATTTCATGGTTTGACGGAAAGGAAAATATCGCCCAATGGAAGGTAATCGAAGCCTTCTGTAAGTATCTCACGCAAGCCTTCTGTAATTATCTTACGCAAGCCTTCTGTAAGTATCTTAGGCAAGCCTTCTGTAAGTATCTTACGCAAGCCTTCTGTAATTATCTTACGCAAGCCTTCTGTAAGTATCTTAGGCAAGCCTTCTGTAAGTATCTTACGCAAGCCTTCTGTAAGTATCTTACGTAAGCCTTCTGTAAGTATCTTACGCAAGCCTTCTGTAAGTATCTTACGCAAGCCTTCTCTAAGTATCTTACGCAAGCCTTCTCTAAGTATCTTACGCAAGCCTTCTGTAAGTATCTTACGTAAGCCTTCTTTAAGGAGGTGCATTCTCAGTAGCTGGGCACAGAACCTTATATAAAAACAGTAACAGAATATAATAAACATCATGACAAGGCTTTTGTAAAGACTGTTGTTATAACACTTTTACAAGATCTGTTTAAGTGTTAAAGAAGGCGTTCGTAAGAATGACTCTTAGTAATGAACTATAATTTTAATTTCGTTTCGTCATTAAGAAAGCACAATAACTAAAATAGGGAAACTTTCGTGCATTGAAAGATATAAGGGTCCTGTACAATGCATTCTGTTACTGTTTTTAGGTAAGGTTCTGTGCCCAGCTACTGAGCTTTTAGAAAATATAGGAAATACCGTGACGAGAGGAGAGACCATCCTCTTTCACTGTTTTAATTAGATTCAGGTTTGAAAGATTTTGTTTCAGTCTTACTTGGCATTTCAGGCAAGACCCAGCCTTCTACTTTTTTGCTTGGGACGTCTATCACCGTTTCTACACTCCAAGTTTTCTCCTTAAAAAAAAACATAAAGAGCTAGATGAGCAAATGAATTAAAGAGAGGTTGAAAGCGCTTTTGCCTGATACGGTATTAAGCGTTTTCAATTTTCCTCAAGTGCTGTCCTTTTTCTTCGAAAATTTTCCTTAAAACGTCAACATGGAATTTTAATCACCGTGATGCGTCAATTCTACTTTTTAATGCCCGTGAAACGCGCGTAGGATCGCTCCTTTATCCCCGTCGTACCACTGTCCTAGCCCTCCTGATAAAATTGTGGTCGTAAGCCACTTTGGTTATTGTTCTTTTTGATGCAATCACAATTTTCATCAAAAGTAGGAGCACTCAAAATATTTCCTAGAGATATGACAAAAATCTAAAATCTTTTAAGGTGACGTAAAAAAAGCTTAATAAAACGGTGCCCTTACAGCACTGCACTCTCCGTCCGTTCCCCACCCCTCCCCCGCCACCAAATAACGGCATTCTTCCTCTTGGGGGCGGGGTGGTAAGGAACTTACCTCCCCGATGCTCTCGATTATAGACCCATTCGGCTAACTCAATGTTGTACCCAATTCAAACCCTTTGGGAATAAAACGTTTTGTTTCAGGAATTTCCATATCATTTAAATGTGAATGCCACATTATAACGCAAATACAATACACAAAGAATCTTAACCCCGGGAGATTTGAATTGGGTACAACACTGAGTTAGCCGAATAGATCTATTCGGCCCTGGGCGCGCTTACTAAGTGAAAAGCATAGGATGATTATTTCTCAGAAATATTGATTCAAGTTCTCATCCTTTACCCCGCTCACCAACCTCGTTTTTGAAGAACTTCACAACTGTGCTGCTCAGTGAACATCCCACAAAGCCTTGCGCCTGATCGGGGTCGTGCAGGAACCTGATCTCCCGGGGAATGGTTCCTGCTCCCAAGTCCAACGTCTGCTCCAATGTTTTTGTTTTCCAGTTCCACACGTTCCAACGGGACCCATATTTCCCTGGTCAAAAATATATATTAGTAACGACTCCCAAAACAAGAAAGGGATTTTATCAGTATAAATTGGATAGAGTTGACAGGACGGCTGCTAGACATTTCTCACATTGTACTGAAAAAAGGACCAAGGCTCGAGGTTTGGGGTGACAGATTTACACTGATTTGTATGGAATTGTCCAACTGAGAGGTACACTGGAGTAGAATTAGTTCTCAAGTTATTGTTATTATTATTATCATCATTATTGTGTCCATTCCTTGTAGACTCGTGCAGGATGTTCGGCCTGGTTTATAGTCCTTGGGAGCAGGTTACAACAAGTCACCAGGGGTCCCAGGTCTCTCTTTTCCTTCTTCTCACAGGGACAGTAATTTCCTTAGTATTTTTGCTGTCCCCAACAATGCTGTTTTCTGGATAACTTCCAACCTCACATTCACGCCGATTCGCTTCATGTACTCCTAAAAGTTGACTGATACAGCTCCAAGGGCCCCAATAACAACAGGCACTACAATGACTTTAGGCATGCGCCAGACTTTTGCAATTTCACCTTTCAATAGTTGGTATTTCTCTAACTTCTAATAATAAAAATGAGATAATAAAAAAGTGAGCAATAACAAAATCAAATGATAAATATTTTAAAAAGCAAAGTTTCCCTTTATTCATTTAAATCTACTTGTTGCTTAGCGGTTAAAAATATTTTCTAAAACAAAGGAATGCTTCATTTTTGGACCGACTCAAGAATGGTATATGTAGAGAAAAGGCGGGAAAATACCCCGCAGATAGCAAGCTCGGCCTGTCTTCGCAGTAGTCGAAGTATAGGACACCGTTACGTCAACGTATTGCGCAAAAACAAAGTGGCAAAAAGTGGTAAAAAAAATCTGTCATTTGCAAACAAAATCGGAGATGCCAACTTAAGAACTTTAAGCAAGAGACTAAGTCTCTTGCTTTAAGTCAATGAACCCAATAAGGCGACAAAGAATTTTACAACCGTCATTTCATATACAGAAAAAAACTATTAGGTTTACAACGTAACCTCATCTTCAATCAAGGAATTAAAAATATTTGGGTTTTTGAGGTGGTGGTGGTGGTGGTGGGAGGGGGGAGGAAGAAGAAAAAATGTTCGTACCTCTGAAAAATCCTGGCTACGCCTCTGATTAGAACGCAAATGATCGATTGATTCGTTATCCCGGTTGGGATCCAGTCACGTCGTATTCCTTATCAGCCTTATTCATGAAGTAAGAGATAACATCTCAGGATCATATTTGCATGGAAAAGGCGCGTTATAAATTTTTAATTATTAATTATTATTTATAAAAGCAAAAAAGGTTGTCCTCTTGAACAATTTCTTTCGGCAAAATCAGGCGTCTTAGGTTAGAAAAATCAAGAGAGTTTGTGGAGTCATAAGCGACGAAGCTGAGCCAGGGGCCCTACATGTGACTGAGTACCCTCGGTAAAGGACCCCAAACACCGAAGACCCAGGGATAAATAAGACTAAGGAAAGGCGCCGAAAGGGAAGGTCAGAAAGGTCGATTCGAAATAGACTGCTTCTTTAGTCATCAATTGCAAGAGTCAGATGAAGTAATAAAACTGATATAAATGGACGTGTAGTTGGTGTAGCTGGTGGTCTGTTCTCGCGTAAATGAGCGGTGAAGCCATGAGCAAAGCGAGGGCAAACGAGCGGCAAAAGAGGTATCCCGGCCGCATTCTCTTCCTGGCTTCACCCGCTCATTTACCCACTCGAAAAACAAAACTGCCAGCAACGCAGACTAAACTTGAACAGAAAAGGCCGATCTGTTTGCTCCTTTAGCGCTGGAATTACAAACTTTTTTGTTCAGATGCTATGAAAAGTTGTAACTCCGGGCGAGAAGTGGTAACAGCTGCGCTAACAGTGTTGATAGACGTGGGACGGACAAACATCTGAGCATCAGGAAGGAATAAAGGTAGAAAAAAATAACCGTGAAATGAACGTTTGAGTTAGTTCAGGATACAGGCTCCGAGAAAAATTTGAACTCTGCCAACTGCGTTGTACTTTCCCAAAAATTGACTACGCGGTGACCATGCAATCAGCTAACTGAATAGACAACCGACCCAGGAATTTCTCTTAATATTTATTGCGAGTGCTTTATTTTCAGTTAACACTAAACCTACAAGTAGAACATCCTTTAGTCTTCTTCTTGATCGTCAAAATCAAGCAAATAAGAAAGACTCTGTTGGCAGCTTAATTGTTTTATGGAATCCTGCCAGGGAATGGGCTGAATTGCTTAAAAAGAAAACCTACTCCTTCACTCTAGTGCTTTTTTAAATATAAAGAATTGGAATTTCTGAACTTTTTTCCTTTATCGATTAAAAATTGATAAAAAACGAGTACACACTCAAAGTACAATTGAGGGTAAAATGTTACCCTGAAATCTAGAGTATAAAATTCTAATTACACATTGTCGCAACACGTACAATACGAGCTCGGAAAGAATCTATTAAAACCGGCATATCAGAACACAGTGCAAAAACTGAAATCACTGAAAGGTTACGTTGGCCGTTACATAGTTCTTGGTTTGCGTTAAACCGTACAAATGAATTTTGGCTATATAATTCGGTTATATAATAAAAGAATTCCATACTGTGGAGGGAACAAGACATAGACTTTACAGCCATATGTCAGAGGAACAGTCTCCTCCCGGATATCGCACTTCATGTGCAAGGGCGGGTCCATCGGGTTCCTCTCCAAAATCAACGCAGAAATCAGGATTCAACCTGAGACCACCATTCACTGTATCAACGTCCACTTGAAGCAACACGCTACCTTTCCTGCGAAGAAAGCGTACGAGAAAAACATGCTAGCTACAGTCAATCATCTCCACATCTGTCAACTTGGAGAGAGAAGTAAGAGGCCGTTCTGGACTGATGGCCGTCGAATGACTGGTTTATGAGGAAGTAGAAGCTTAATCTGACAACAATTCTAGAATGGCAGGGTATTTTTAAGAAAATACGAAATACTCAAGGCGTTGACAATAGGAAAGTCACCATAGGGTTAATAAGTTAGCACATAGACTCCCCACACGACTTTCAGTTAAACTTTTTAGTGCATTTCTTTGCCATTACTGCACGACTTCGACATAGATCGCCTTTTATAATTTATGGAGGACGTGAGTAAACGACAACGAATTTTTCTCTCTCTTTCTGAACTTGAATAGTCAGGAATTCAGCTCCAAGAGAGTTCAACTACATTTGACAAGGTAAGCAAGTTGGAAAAATCGCGATGTATTTTGAAATTAACGAACGCCGCGTTTTCCCATCCTTCTAAGTCGTTGTCATGTGATTAGATCCGCAGTGCATAAAACCAGACTTCCGAGTAAGTAAATAATTCAGTAATTTTTTTATCTTTTCTTATCAATGAAAATGCTGACTGCCTTACTTGGAGAGGCTGGGATAAAACTGGTTGTCCCATACACTGTACAGCGATGTTGTAAAGTATAATCGCTTTCCGTCCAGACTGAGCTGCAACATCTGTGGCCCACCCTCGACTCTCGTTCCCTTCACATAGCACGGGTCAGGCTGTTCACTTAATTCACTATCCTCTATCACTTTCACTGAGCCATCTTTGGTTATACTACCACCAACGAAGACCTAAGACAGAAAAAGATCACATGTTAATGATTATAATGATCATAAACGAATTTGATTTGTCTCCTTTGTTTCACAAAAATTACGCGCGCGATCAGCTGGTTTTACGTAGTTTCAGAAAAAAGCGTTTGATTGTAGGAAAGGAATAACCTAACAGGTGTTAAACAAAAAAACGCCGGAGGAAGGGGGGGTCCTAGTAATGGCCTAATGGGGATGAGCAGGTGGATGGGGTTCCATTTTCACGACTGGGTTGACTATAACGACCTATAGCAAGGTTGCGTTTTCAACAGAGTTACTACTAGACTTCCTCAAAAGTTCTTCGCTTCTCATTTCCGGTTCCGGTAACATTAAAAAACTGCCACTCGCGCTTAGCGCTCGTGAAAAAATTTGAGCTCAACTTGTAGGCAAGTCTCAGTTACTACGAGAACGGGTTCTTTAATTTTCGGGATCATTCGGGGAAGAAAATTTCGGTTAGTGTGTACGTAGGGATTTAATACTAGGCAGACTCACGGTTAAAAAGTTGTTACCTTATTTCAGAGCTTTTGGTTTGATATTTGACAATCGGCTGGCAAAACATTCCGTTCTTGATTTACTAAGTTGTGCCAGTGCGAAATTACATTTGCTCAAAAGTGACTAAGATGTAGCTGCGTAAGCAGAGGTAATTTAACCAGAGTTAAAAGATGGACAAATAGTTCTGATAGTTTCCCCCCGAACAAAAAGCAAAAAGCTATGGTCAAGAAATTCAGTGTTCAACGAGAAATTCAAGTATACAACGCAAATGTTTTTTTACTGTAATATATATTAAATATTATAAAATAATCTAGATAGTACGTGCGTTCTGATTGGTTAAAAGGCGTATGGTTTATTGTGCCGGTAAACTCATAGGAAACTTTAAGCTTTTCGAGTGTTCTCCCAACACCCCGCGTGGGTTATCACGCCGGTAAACCCATAGAAACTGTGATCTATTGCTTAAATATTTCATCATTTGTAGAATATACATGTCTAGCCCTTTCGTAATTAATATGTACCGGTAGCTATAATGTGTCTTTCCCGTGTTTGTCTACTTGAATATAGTCTCGAGCCTTTATGAAAGCAGTTTAAAGAGTGACCGACCTACCTGGCCAACCAGTTTGGGATTCTTGGTATCTGTTATGTCATACTGTCTGAGGTCTCCATGAAGCCAGTTACCGAAATACAAATATTTGTCGTCCAGAGAGATAAGAATATCTGTTATCAGACCTGCAGAAAAACGCATGAAAAAAAAAAAAAAAAAGACGAACGTCATTGTTCAAGTTTTTTTAGGTCAATTTTGTGCTTAAGTCAATATTGACTGCCTTTATACCTGTACAAAAAAAACTCCTGTAGATTTATGACGAAGATATCAAATCACTTTCACCATGCAGGAAGTACTAACCATTATATTTTTTTCTAGTGATTTTTGGGATCATTCTCAGCAGCGGGGCACAGAACCTTATACAAAACAGTAACAGAATATAATACACAGCACCTTATACGTTTCAATTCACGAAATAAGGTCCTGTGCCCGGCCGGTGAGAATGATCCAACTTTTAATTTTTTAAGATGGAGATTTTTTTTCTGTCACCTTGACATTCAGTCAATTTAAGTTCATTGGAAATTCATTTCTTTTTGCTGAAGATTAAAAGATTTTAATATAAATGCACACGGCGGGGTTAACATCCCACGCACACATCACAAGCAACTCATAATAAAAAGTTATATAAATCATTCTTTTCTATAATCATGGCAATCGTATAGATCACTTGATATGCGGTACGATTTCGTCATTAATTTAATTATGTATTAAAATTTGGTTGTAAAGGCTTTCACACAAAACATGTGTCGGCGATTCCAAGCCAGTTGCCACGACATTAGTACAGATGTATGAAAAATGATTTGAAATCAGTTTTAGATCGCGATTGGTCCGTTGTTCCAACCAGGGCCTAAGAAGCTACCCTAGTTTCTTACGTACGCCCTGTTTTCAACCAATAAACACATTATCCGGTTTTCGACAAGGGATCAGTTTTAGGCCTGAAAAATCCAAACGGTCTGAGATAGAATGTACTCTACCTCTCAGCAAATAATAAAGCAGTTTCTCTATAACGTTAAAACCGTGTAGCTGTATCAGGGGCACTCAACGACAATTTTCGGAAAATATCTGTTCGGAAGACGATTTGAGATCTACAATTTTCGGAACATTTTTTGTAAAATTTCTGCTTTCCTGACTCTCCTAGGATTTTCGAACATCTAAATAATGGTATAATTGCCTATTTTTAACGGATTTTTACCCTAAAAAGGTCACCTAGAATTTTCGGGAGCCTTTTTTCTGGCTGAAATTTTCGAAAAGGTAAGTTTTGATCGCTATAATTTTCGGATCACTAGACTTCAGAGCTAGAAAATTCGAACAGATGAAAAATTTTTAGGGGATGAAAATATGCTTATATCTACCGTTTAAATACTAAAATACGTTTAACAATGCTATGTTTAAGTGGTTTGAACCATATTCTCGTTGGGTGCCCCTGCTGTATATTGGATCGTCAACGATCGACCTCAACGATGTGACTACCGGATGTCGTCGCAAATTTCCTGTTTGCATTTGGTGAAGGCATTTATATTACTACAGTCTCCCGGTTCAAACGTTATGGGCTTTACAAGCCTTATAATTGAAAAATCACCTTAAAGTCACGGCAAATCATTTTGGGCACTAAATATGAACTTCTGTTGAAAAACGAAAGACTCTTTGCAACTGATCTTTCCTCGGACTAAATTTGATTTGCAATTTAATACAACAATAATTGTTTTGATACATAGATTTTTAATGATATTACTTTTTTTTTAACCAAACAGTTCTTTCGGCAAACAGTTTGACAAACGAAGCGATGCGTTCATATACTGCACGGCGAACGTCAAAACTTTATATGATTATAATTGAAAGGAATATAGTAATTATAACCCTAACCCTAACCCTGTCAACAACAACAGTCCTATTCAGGACTACGTTCACCCGGACGATCAAACTCAACCTACTTTTGAAACGACTCCTGGGTTCAAACCTTTCACAGTAATTGTCGCTCGGCATTGCTTAAAGTTTTTTTTTTTTTTTGACTATCGTGGGGCCAATTTATTGCTGCTAGCAAAAACTTTAAAACACTAAAAACGATAAAAAGCTAGGATACAAAATTATGAGAATCGAACTTTAAGTCCAACCCTTAGCCTAAGTAACAACAATAATAATAATAATAATAATAATAATAATAATAATAATACTAACGGTTTAATATCAGTACATCCATGGTATGGCTCTTCGCCTGATATAAGATTAAAATAAGGAATTTAAAAGGGAAAAAAAATACATAAATCTGAATTATGAATTTGTAAAAAAAAGCTAGGTAATAAAA